TGAGCGCAATCGTCTAAAAAAACCGCTCAAACCGCTCAAATCTTGCTTCAAAAGAGGCGAACAACCTCAAATTGGGATCCTTTCTCGAGAAGACAGCGGGCATGGCAGATTCTCTATCAAAACCGTCGAGCAATTTTTTTAACGTTCCAAAATTTTAACGTTCCAAAATTGCATACAGCCCAATCTAGCACAGCGCGACATTATTTTTTCTATTTTTCTAGAACCACAGCAACTTGATGCCAGGCTAAAAACAATAATGCATAAAAAACGTTCAAAGCGATCAAAGCTACATGTTCAAAATGCCTTAAGAAACAGACGATATATTTTTCTGCTTTTTAGCTGCGAAATTTTTATTAGCTTAAAATAACGCTCTTCAAAGTTCTTCCAAATTTTGGTTTAAAAAAAACCGATGGTCAATTGCCCAGCCGGGATTATCAAACAGAACCTTGAAGCTGCAGTTTTTTTAAGTTCGAATTTTTAATTAGAACTTTAAGCGCACTGAATTAACCAAGAAAAAAGTATAAAAGAGCAAGCCAATGCAAGATACTCTAGTACAAAATGGTCTAATTTAGTCGTTTGATGCTCAGCATTAGTCGTTTGATGCCTCGCTTCTGATGCTATGCTTAAAGAAATTAGATTTTTAAATCTCCTTGCTCTTAAAATTGTCATTGAAAATTATTTCTGTAGTTATTGTCTTTCTTTTTGCGCCGACTTGTAGTGTTTCTATCAAAGACAAATGGTCTGAAAAGTCGCGCCGTCTCCGCATTGGTCTGAAAAGTCGCGCCGTCTCCGCATTGGTCTGAAAAGTCGCGCCGTCTCCGCATTGGTCTGAAAAGTCGCGCCGTCTCCTCCTTGGTCTGGAAAGTCACGCCGCCTCCACCTTGGTAGCGAGGAATGATTTCTTGATCGCGCCGTCTCCACCTCGGTCTGGAAAGACGCGCCGTCTCCGCCTTGGTCTGGAAAGTCACGCCGCCTCCTCCTTGGTAGCGAGGAATGATTTCTTGATCGCGCCGTCTCCACCTCGGTCTGGAAAGACGCGCCGTCTCCGCCTTGGTCTGAAAAGTCGCGCCGTCTCTGCTTCGGTCTGCAAAGACGCGCCGTCTCCACCTCGGTCGCGAAAGTCTTGAGAGTGCACATTTTGGTCGCGCTGGCCAAGCCGGTCGCGCCGTTGCCTTTGGAGTCGCGCCGTTTCCTGAGTCGCACCGTATCCACCATGGTCGCGAAAGTAGCGCCGTCTCCACCTCAGTCGAGAAATCCCTGAAAAATTTTAAAGTCGCGCCGTCTCCATGTTGGTCTGGAAAGTCGCCCCGTCTCCATCTTGTTCTGGAAAGTCTGGAAATAGCTAGGTTTGGTCGCGCCGGTCACGCCATTTCCTGACCCGCAGTGTCGCGCCAAATCCGCCTAGGCCGCGAAAGTCGCGCCTTAGTTTTTCGGTCGCGAAAGTCTGGAAATGGCAACTCTTGGTCGCGAGAGTCTGGACATACCAAATATGAGTCGCGATGTTTTGGTCGCACCACCTCCCCTTCGGTCGCGATAGTCGCGACAGATCATCATGGTCGCAAAAGTCTGGAAATTCCATGTTTTGGTCGCCAAAGCCTGGACATGCCTAATTTTGGTCTGGAAAGTCTGGACATGCTAAAGTTTTGTCGCGAAAGTCTGGACATGAGTCTGGGACCTCGACCCGGGAAGACCGCTCAAAAACCGCTCAAAAATCACCGCAAGAAATGAGCGGTTTTTGAGCGGTTTTTGAGCGGTTTTTAAAGAGAGATTTGAGCGGTTTGAGCGGTTTTTCCAAAAAAAATGCCCAAACCGCTCAAACCGCTCAAATCTTGCTGAAAAACCGCTCAAACCGCCCATATCTTGAGCAGTTTTTGAGCAGGATCTCAACCCGGGCTGTCAGTAGTCTTGTTTTACCTTTGAAAACTAGGGACACCTTCTCGTGGTGTTCCACTTTCTTAACTCCCTCCCCCGCCCCTCTCTTCGGAGATGCGTTTTTGGAGTCGGCCACGAGTGAGTTGGCTATCTGTTCGCTGTTCTTCTTGAACTCGGCCTTCAGTCTGGCCACGTTGCCAGCCGTGAGGCTCTCGGGTTCCACTATCGGGCTGTCAACTTCATCCTTCAAAAAAAAGGCATCTCTATCCCCGTATTGAAAAAGGAGGTTCGTTTGTATAAATCAAAACCTCATATGCTTAAAAACTCATATTGCATTACTTTTTTAAATGATCCTAGTTATTCTCTTCTGGCTGATTCAGAGGAAGGGGACTTTTTATGGTGCCCGATCAAAAAAATTGCGAAAAAAATTGATGATTTGAAACTTATTCACCTCAGAGATTGTTATGTGCTTTAAGCAGGTGGCAATGTGTTTTAAAAACTTTAAATGAGTTACTTTTCTAAAATCAGTAGTTTCTAAAATAGAATTAGAAAAATATTGATGTTGACTCAAAAATGACATTTTTCTGCATTAATCGCCTAGTAGGGGCGGGCGTTTTTACTTCCCGTATATCCGCCACAGCCTCACCGTATCGTGGGATAGTCTAATATGGTCGCTCATTTCCTTCTCCCCTATGATAGTGGACTTCCTTCTGGTTACTCTGGCCAGTCGCCTCCTCTCCTCCCTCTTCTTCATCAGCTGCTCATCGCTGGAGGGGTACGTGTCAGTACTTGTCACCAGGAACTCCACCTGAAACTCATTTAAAAATGTATACCTTTTGTCATAAAAAAAAACTAATCATACAATTTCTATATATGCAACTTTCTAGCATTTTTTTTTGATGGCGACAACAAAAGTTTTTCCAAGTATTTTTGAAATTGCCTCAAAAGTTAGTTTTTGGGTTTTTTTCAACCAAAAATCAAATTTTTTACTCGAAAAAACATTTTGCATGCAAAATTTAATTTTTTGTGGGCGTAACGTATTCCTGGATGCACTAATGTTGGATTTTTTTCTTTTTCGCCTAATTACTTTTTTCGAAAACGCTAGAAACTCCTTTTTTCTATGGCCTGTTTATGTATGCCTTGATCAATGTCGTCTGATAAGTTGAAAATTCAAGTTTCAAAAGTAAACATTGTTGAAAATTTTCGCCAAAATTCAGATGTTTATTACTTTCATTATATCTTTTGTGTAAGACAGCTCTAAGACAATTCAAATCGTTTTCAATGCATTGTAAAGGCAAGACCGTTCAACTTTTGCTGACTCCAGCTTTGCGTAAGCCAAGATCTTTGTCACTTGGGTTCGGTTATGAACACAACCAAAATTATTTCAGAAGTTAAATTTAGAAAAAAAAACTTTTTTTTTGCTTTATTGAAAAAAACGTATCAAATAATTTGCTTTAAAATAAAAATGCTTATCATACAGATTTCATACAATTTTCAGTACGTATGGATATGTATGATAAAAACTTTTCGTTTCTTGAAAATGTATGAAAAGAAAGTTTGGTCAACCCTGGATGACAAATCTATAACTTTTAAACATATCCGTTTGGACTAATGATTCAATTTCAGCTTTTCTCCACCATTAACGAAATCCAAAAGTTTCATTCAACAAAATGTTTTAAATAACAAAAGAAGGGTGTTTTTTGTTTTGTGTCACGGTTTTGCGATTATACTTGTGACGTGAGCAGTAATACAAGTTACGAGGCCAAACTGTTTATTCTGCGAATTATGAGCGGGTTTCGCAATAGACTGAAAACTGACTTGCTGAGGAATCTGCAACACGCATATTTTACTTTGATACTTTTGCTGTTTTGGATTCCACGAACAACGAGCTAAAACACTGTATCGCTCAAGTTTACTCCAAGGCAGCCAAACTTGCGGAATCAAGAACAGTCCATGGAATTCAAAAACAAATATAAATTCAGTGATTTAAAGATTGATCTTTTGCAGAATGCATTTACATTTGCGGAAACCACTCATATTTGCGCAGTCTGCTTATATTTTGTAAAATCCACTTACATAACTATACTATAAGCTACAATGTTTTTCGTTTAGTTTTGCTGAATCTACAAATTTTTTGCGAAATCCAGAACAGCTAGCTATGCTTGCTAGTTGCGGAAACCGCTATACAACTAATATGACGACAAATTTTAGGTTAAAAGGTATCTATTTGCGGAATCCGTAAAACTTTGTAGTGGAATCTACTTAAATTTTGGTACATGTTTAAAAATTTGTCTCTGGAAAAGAGTGTTTTACACATCATAAACTATGCGCCTATCTCGTGAACAGTTTGGCCAGGTCATAATTTTGCAGAGCAACAATCTCTTTAATTTGATAATCAGTCCACGTACACCACTGAAACGCTTCATTGCTCAATTTTTCTCCAAAAGCAGCCACAGTTGCTAAATCCAGAACAGTTTGCAGAATCCAAAAACTAGTTTATGTAATAAAGTGAAAACAATGCTTTTTCAGAGTACATTTATATTTGCGGGATTCACTTACAATTTTGTGGAATGAGCATACTTTTGCGGAATCTATCTGTTTCGCAATTAACATTTCAAATTTTTTGAAGCTATCTGTTTCAAAAATGATGGTTCAAAAATAATGGTTGCTGTATTATTGAATATCTAATTTTGCAGCTCTTTACTTTTACAATTACTTACTTTTACTAAGAAAACTGTATGAAACTTATATAAACCGTTTTTTCCCGTTGATTGAGTGCGTGGAACTGTATGATCAAAACTAGATCTAGTAAACGGGCAGTTGATAAAATTTTTGATGGCGTCCAGTGAACAAAAAACTGCTGCTAGTTTTCAAAAGTTTGTAAAAGTTTTGACGTTTCACATACAAAATTGCCAAAAGTTTTTTTTTACTTTAAAAAATTTAACTGGAAAAAAAGATAAATATATGAGAAAACTTTCCTTTCAAATATAGTTTCTAAAACCTAAATCAATTTTGAAAAGAAAACAGCATTTTAAGCATTTTCTATTAATTTTGTTAGAGCGAAAAGTGCCCTTTTTTGGCTGATAGAAATTCAAGCGAGGCTCAAAAAGATATAAAACGTTCGCAGATTAGAAAAATGGGCATGAAAAAAACTCCGATTTTTCCCGGAAAAAAAAGATAGCCGGTTGCTGTTCCAAATTTGAGGCTTCTCGAAAATTTGATAGTTTTTCTTTAATTTTTTTTTAATTGTTTGAATCGCTTTTTGATAAAATTTCCTTCGACTCATTCCAATTTTCTTTGGGTCAATTCATTTTGAGTAGAAAACAAAGAAAAAGAAAAAAGTAAAACACACCTGAAAACAAAGTTCCTTCCCATTTTCAACAGTTGGATCAAATAAAAGAAATTACCCTTGTAAATGTGAAAATTATTTTCGTTCACTAATTTTTCCGACCAAATTTCAGAATTGTACCTGAAACATGCATATGTTTCTTCTGTGATCATAACTTCCGTCCATAACATTCTCCTCCCATGGTAAACCCTGAATTCTTTCCATCGCATGGTGCGAGTTATCTTTCGGCTCGATTAATGCTTCGTTTTCAGATGTCATAACATCCGCTTTAGATGATGCTACATCTGTTTTTGATGAGGTAATGGTTTCAATTTTTGGTGATGTAACAACACCATTGTTCGATGACATAACATCGTCATTTTTTGATGATGCGACAATATCAATGTTAACAGAAACGTTCACGGCGTCGATTTGATCTGCAGCCGAAACATCTTCTGCCGTGTCGTCTAGTGTGTTCTCATAGAAATTAAAGAGTCTGCTAATTGAGTGAAGTTTCCGTTTCGGCTTCATGGGACTGCTGTCATTAATGTTATTGTTGACATTTTCGTTGTAGCACGAGTGTTGTCGAACAGAGTGAACTATTATTTGGGCTATTTGGGGTTGAGTAGGCTGCCAACTTTCGTCCCAAAAGGGTTCTGAAGCTTCTGACTTCTAAACAAAAAAATTTAAAAATATTACTGGTCAAATTGGTTCAGCCTTGTCAAATCAGTCTTGGGTTTTGCTGGGGTACACAATACTTAAGCCACGAATTTGGAAATTTTGAATAAAATTTTATAAGTTATTCAATAACAGATTCAATATTTTTTTCTTATTGTATATGCTTAAAACTTAGATTCGTTTTGCTCTAACTTTTCCTTTTCTTGAAAAAAAACCGAATAACCGCACAACGTTTTGTTGTTTAGCCCGATCAAAAAGAAACGAAAAACAGAAGGTAATCTGAAATCTTACTTGATCAAGCGGCAACTTGCTCCAACTCCAATGTCTGTTTGCACATTCATTATAGCAAAAGATATACTGCTTCAATTTCTTCGACAGGAATTTTTTCTCCAAATCTGCTAAATTTTCTGTCATAAAATCACCTGACGAGTTAACCATTTCGGTTTGAGAACCAGATTTTTCAAGATTTTGTGAAACTCTCGAGTGTTCTTCGTAGATAACGCCTTCTCTTAATGCACGGAGATTATCCAGTTTTTGTTGTCTTAGCTGCGCTAATTTATTGACTTTTCCTTGATTTGTTGAATAACTGCTGTAGTTGCTATTCGATTCGGTTGCTGAACTTTGCAATTCATTCACGCACGGTGATATATTCCTAGCGTTGATATGTTTCTCCTCATCTGAAAAATAGTGAAATGAAAAAGCAAAAATAAAAAAAAACAGGATAAAAATGCAATTAATTTAAAAATGTCTGAAAGGGGCCTTGAGCGCTTTTTCTACTAAAACTACATCATAGAGACTTTCGTGTTTTTCTGCAGCCGTTTTTGTTCAGTAAAAGTTTGTTGACAAACCAAATATTTTGCCGTTAGTTTATGTTTACTAAAACAGAAAGGAAATTACAAAATATGAAAAAGGTAAAAATAACTAATTGTGTTTTTGGTTTAAAATATGTAGTGTAAAGATTTGAAAACAAAAATTGGTCATAGAGGTTTAGAGTTGCATTAAAATGCTAATCAATAATATTTAAGTTCTAGCAATCTTAGGGTAAATCTAAGCAATAACTTCACGCTGGAGTGCGGTCAAAAGTAGATGTCATACATCTGAAAATCAGGGATCTCTCTATAACTATATCCCCCTTTTGCAAAGGAGGGGAGATTCGTTACTAGGTATTCGAGGGGGATATAGTTATAGAGATATCCAATCAGAATCGTGATAAAAACACAAATGCACGAATATAGTTTCTTTTCTCGATTCTGATTGGCTTACGACGTCTCTAATTTTTGACCTGTCTACTCTTGCTAAAACCTTAAGGGGGGATGGGAAAAAAAAGGTTTTTCTCAGGTCACTGGGCCCAACCTTCTTAGGTCATCGAGCTCGGTCCAAACCCCACATTGACCAGCATTTCTGGCTAAAATTTCTGCTACGAAGACATTTTTTTTTTATTGAAAACGCCACTTTTCAGCATTTTCGTAAAAATTTGACAAAACATTGTAATTTTCGCGAGCGTCCCTCAAAGTAAAAAAAAAACATGAGACATTTTCAAGTTTCAGGCCAATTTGGGGAGAAGTGAGTATCAGAATTAAGGAGAGGGCTTTGATTGCTTAACTGTTTAATCAGAAATAAAAAGATATAAGGAATATTGGTATACTAGTTGAAAAAACTGATTTCGTTAATTTTTCCTGTACGTTTTTGAGAAAAATAATTTAACTAACATTTCTCAATCAACTGTGCGACTTGGCTCATGTGTAGGAAACTCATACTTGCTGTACATCAAACTAGGAATGTTTAATTATCCCCAGAAAATTTCATAAAAATTGGTGCTTTTTAAAATCAAATAAGTTTGATCTACAAATTTTTTGAATGCTGTTTTATGAATTTTTTCACTATAGGACCAACTAAAAATTTGCAGTAAGTGGAATAAAATAAGTTTGTTATTTGTTGGTGTTGTCCGTTCAACTTGGCCATAAAAGGAGCGTAATAAGCACATTTTGCAATTTTTCTCAGTTGTGATGTTGGCTGATCTGATAACCTACTTAACACATCATTGCACTTTATTACCAGCAACAGAAGCATTTACGGCACTTTTCTGATGTCACAACGGTCTCATTTTTCATCTTTATTTTAGAATATAAAATGTTCAAGGATTTTTTGCAAGATAACATAATTAAATAGAGCGGTAAAAGAACCGAAAGTTGCGCAGATTTTAATGTTCGCCTAAATGTAAAACAGAAATTTTTTTGACAACCAAGTTGAAAAAACATTTATTGTCGGCCATTAGGCAAGAGTAAAAAACATCCCCACTCAAGCCATATTAAGAACAAAGTGATAGATTTTGTTCGAATTAATGAACCAATTATGGCATATAAGCTTCTTTGAACAAATTTAGAACGATTTTTAAGACAGATTAAATCTCCGCGAAAAATATCGCGCGTTAATTGTCCCAAGTTGGCCAAAATGGCAATCTTTAAACCCCCATAACTTTACAAAAAATGATCATGGGTGAATAATTTTTCAAATTTAAGCTCAGAGCAACAATATCTTTCGGATGATCTAAAAAAAATCCGTCAAAAATGGGTAGTTTGAAAGTCGAAATTGGTCGAAGAAAAAAACCCACCCCGAGCACAAATATTCCGTGACTTTCGCTACAAAAGTTGAAACAATTATTAGAAAGCTAAAGATGCATTAGTAAAACTATTTTTTTTGTAATGGAAAGAAAATCAACGAAAGTTTTTTATCGAATGTTTTTCAAAATCTTTTTTTTAGAAAAAATTATGGATATTACGAAAAGTTCAATAAAAATGAGAAACTTTTTAATTTCGATTAAAAAGTCGAAAACATCAGACCGAGGCACAAAGATCTCCATATTGACCAAGAATTGTTGATTGCTGTGCCAAAAGGGTAGAATATTCTGACAACGGATGTTATTTCAACTCAAATTAGGTTTTTTTTTGAACTAGCTTGCCGTTTGACAGAGAGGCAGAGTGTGAGATAAAGTTTTAATTTTTGATAATTCAAACCGTTTAATTAGTTCAATTTACAACCCTTAGCCAAATTTAATCAATTTTTGCTTCATAGCCTTAGGTTAATTCAAAAGAATTAACTTTTTCATCATTTTTGGAGCGAAGAGTTACATGAGGGCGAAAAGGGTCTCTTAAGTTCAATTGAGCGCATTTTGGTTGATCGAATAAAAACCATTATTAGTTCCAAGGTGATTTATCTTTATCCGTACTGAAAACAAAACACAGATTCAGCTCAAAGCGGTGAAGCCAATTTTTTCGATGCACATACATATATCTAAAATTGTTTTGAAAAACATCGCAAAAAGGATGGTTTCATAAAACTTCATAGCTTCATAGCCGTTGAAATTCTTATCTGCAAAGCTAGTTGAAAAATTTTGACTGGTTGAACTAGGTCTGTTGTTGTTCTTGCAGAGAATAGTTACGTTGAAACATCGTTCAAAAATGAATTTGAAAAGTTGCAATTGATTGCAAGCATACGCTGCTTTGTTTCTAGTTCTGCGCTCCATTTCAAAAATTTATTTCACCTGTGATTTCGTGTTGAAATTTTATGGTGGTTTGAAAATTAACCATTTGGCTGAATGTGGACAATTAGTGCGCTATATACTTCGTTCTTTTGACGCTGGATCGGCTATATAATCTGGGTCAGAAATTGTTCAAATTACAATTGAGGCAAGCTGTTTGAAATTATTGTTTCGATATTTGTAACCAAAGTAACAGAATATTTGTGCTCGATTGGTTTTATCCACAGATAAATCTCGACTTTTCAACTAGCCATTTTTGACGGAATTTAAAAAATCAGTCAAAAGATATTGTTACGCTAAGCTCAAATTAGGAAATCTACTTCCCTTTTGATCTTTTTTCGTAAAGCTATGAGAGTTTAAAGATTGCCATTTTGGCCAATTTGGGACAATTAACTAGCGCTATTAACTCCTAAGAGTAGATTTAATCCGTCTTAAAAATCGTTCCAAATTGCTTGAAGGAAGCCTAATTGTCATAGTGGAATTGTTTTTAGGAGCTAAATTTATCACTTTGTTTTTATATATAGCGTGTGTCTGGATGAATTTCACACAAAAAAAAACAAATTTTAAAATGTTTCATTTTTTTTTACTTTTAATTTTTTCATGTTCTTAATGCTCCATAGACCTTAAAAGGCAGTCGGAACATTCAGGGCTTCAACTTGATACAAGCAGTGTTATTATTATTATGCTGGACGCTGATTGCTGACTGATTCTTTACAAAACGAGGTGATTTTTTTTAGAAGTAAATAACTTTTCACATTTTGCTCGAAATTTTATCGAAAAATTGTTTTTCCTGAGAAGTTTCTACTTTTATTATAACCTACTTTTGTGGTTGGAAGTTTTTGGTAAAATTTACAGGAATATTAAGAAGAAGAAGGAAGATATCAAGTTGTACAAATTATTAACTTCTGTATAAAATTGATGAGGCGTTTCTAGACAAGTATCCAGTCTACTAACACTCTAAAACAATTTGTTCAGATGAGCATGAGATAAAGAGTTCTTCCTAAACTCAAAAGACTGGCCATTTTTTTTTAAATACATCGAAATAAAGCGTTCTTATCAGTACGCGAGCTGATTTTGAAGAAAATTCGAGAAAATGAGCTTGGAAAATAAACAAAATTATCTTTATCCCTTGAACGAAAGGAAATGATCGCAAACTAATCACTACGAAGATTTTTTAAGATCGTTGTTTCCATACTTGGTTACGAGCACTTCGCAGTTTATTTCAGGTCTATCAAAGACATCTGTAAATTTTGATCAAAGAAAAAAAATTTTAAGTAAAAACAATTTAATTTCCCAGTGTTACAATTTTTTATACTCTTAAAAACTTTACGTTCACGTAAATGGATTGGAAAATTGACTCGCAGCCTGTTAAAATACGGGAATTTTTAAACCCGCAAAAATGAAATTTTAGACCCTAAAAACAGCTAAGTGTTTAATTTGGTGACCCAATTGGTAGCTCCTCCAAAATAAATAACAGTTACACAATTTTATATCAGGCATATGAAAAAACTAGCCTTAAACTTCCTTTATGAAAGTGGTTTTTTTCTACAGCAAAAAATTATAGCGAAATTAAAAGACACTAAACCCAAATAACATAAATGAAACCTGGATTTCAGTTTAGAATTTTTCTAACCATTTATAAAAATAACGTTTTTATATATGAAATTGTGTCTGAAAATCAACATTATAATTTGGACGGCAAATCTCCATATCCAGATAATTTTTGAAGTTTTTATTCAGCAAACTCCGTAGCTTTTGCTTTTTAGGACACAACGCAAACTTTGAAAGCAAAAAATGCAAAAGTAACTGGTTTTCTCTCTTGAAAAATGCTAATTAGGAGGAAAATTTTCGAATCCATTCTCCATTTCAAAGAGGAAATCATATCAGCAGAGTTTGCATATCCTTTTCTAGAGGTATGAAATGCTTATTCCAATGTATTTTAAATGTATTCTTACTTTTTCGCTGTAAAAAAAAACAAAAACTGAAATTGCCTTTTTGGTTTTCCTGTTGTCAGGGCTTCATTTCATGGAGCTTTAATAACAACCACTTGATAAAAAAATTGTTTAATTGAGATAAAAATTTCCAGAAAATTGAAAAAAAAATATGAAAAAAACATACCCTCTTGGATCTCTCTAATCCGCCTTTCTCTTCTCTCCTTTCTGAAATTGTTCACTTCTTCTGAAAGTTTCGTAACATCTTTTTTCAAATCTCGCGTTTGTTCCCTCAATTTTTCTTTATCCGCGCTTTTCCTCTGATTTTCCCCATCAGTTGAAGTGATTTTGTTCCCCGTCAACTGCTGATTATGAGCCGCTTTTTCTGCTTTGTTTCGAGTTCTGTAGCTTTTCGGGCCATTTTTACTCTCGTCTATAATTCCGTTTTGCTTTTCGCAAAAATCCTTTGAAGATGAACTTAGATTTTCGTCTGTGTAGTGATGAAGACTCTCGACGCTTTTTGATCTGCGAGAGAATTTGTTGGCATTGGGATTTGAAGTTTGCGAAATTTGATCGCTTTTTGGCGCTAAAAAAGTAAGGGCTATCTTTTGCTTTATTCTCGAAAACATGCCTGCTTTGATACGTCAGTAGATCCGAAACGTTAACGAATGATGATAATGCAAACTGTAAAGTTAAATATCGTTTAGTACAAAGATGTACTTGCTAAAACCAGCAAGTAAATAAAATTTCAGATAACATTTCGAAATGCGTTTTGATTTTGAAAAAGTTTCGACAAAATTGGTGAATGCTGATTGGAAAACAGGTAAGCTAACTAATAATCTGTTAACTAGGCAATCAATAATAAAACAAACTGTTTCAATTGAATGAATCAGTTTAGCGAAACTTATTCACGAACAGTTTGCAGAAGTTTGAACTTTCGAGGTTTTAGAGTTTGATTTTCATGAGCTTTGCAACTATTGCGTCAAAACAATTCAAAGACTCGTTTCAACTCGAACTCAAAACATGTTTTAGACTTTGAGACAGTTTTGATATTTTCATCGATCTAATTATATCTGGGATTATATCAACACTGAATATTATTGATTCTAATTATTAACTAATATAATCAAACTATTCAGAGTAAAGACGATCACAATATGTAAAATTCTTCAAGGGATGCGAGTTTTCTAAATCCTAACGTCTTGAAGCTACTAGTTGGAATGTGAGTTTTGGGTTGATTTGAGCAGCCTATGGATGTTTTATGAATCAAAATTTGTGACAGCTTCAAAAAACTTACAAAATCTTAACAGTCTATAGTTTCAGTCGCAAAAAAAAAGATATTTAAAATTTGTTTTGTATTTCCTAAAACAGTTTAAAGAAAATGTTACGAGTAGTTAAATATTTCAGACTGTCTGGTATTATAATGTCTGGTGTTATAAGAACTTTTCTTCTACTGAAATTGATGCTTTAAGAACTACCCAAAAATGTTGTTTGTTGTATGTCATTAATTTTTATTAACTAGAACGCTACTATTAAATAAACTGTTCTTAGCTATAATTACACAAACTGACGCCAAATACTGAGCTTCAAGTTTCTATATTATGCCAGTTTTGATTGTTGAATAACTGATAGAATAACTAAAGCACTGCAAAACGAAAAAAAAAAGACTTTGATTGATTTGACTTGGTATTGATACAACTACATGGTATTCTTACTACAAACTGAGCAGCAGAAATAAATGAAAGAAATCGCCTGAACCTAAGCGGCAAAAAGTAACTTAAACTATGTTTGAGTTTCTAACTACTCCCTTAAATTTCTCCGGAGTATTTTTTTGAGCTTGAGAAAAAAAAGAGAGCTAATTGACTCGATTCAAATTTTTTGCATGTTTATTTTGTAGTTTTTTTAACCAAAAAAATGTAGTCTTCTTTTTTGAATCTAAAATTGACTAATAGAAAAAATGCTGACATATTAAAACATTGCTAATAAAAATCCAAGAAAAGAAAAATATTAATAACCCGCAATCAGTAGGAAGAGAAAATAATCGTTTATATTACAATTAGAAATGTAGTTTTTATTAAAATTAAATTTAATTATAAGCGCCAAATTTAGATGTTTAAACAATTTCTAATCCTTTATATTGATAACATTTTCGTGACATTATAATAAATTCTAATCTATTAGATTTGATTATAATTTTTCCGAAAACCTCTCATAATCTCATACAATCTGTTTTAACCTACTACAAAAGATTATAATCCTTTTTTCTGTGAAAAATCTCTAAAAGTGAGATGTCTTGTCACTCTTTGGTTCATCTGAACACAAAGTTTTACCACAAAACAAAAGTTTCAGAGAGGTCCATTCGTATTTGTTGAAAGAAACCCGCGATAGGTGGAATATAACTCTTCTATATAAACCATAAAACTAAAGCAGTGTGCTGATATTTTAATGGTATAGAAAAATGTAAAATGTGCATCATGAAACAACTATTATCACGAAGAAATGAAAAAAAAATGTTATAATTTTTAATTGATTTGAAAACTGTTAGAACAATTTTCCCATTTTTCGTATAAACAAAAATCTGCGGAAAGCATAAAATATAAGCAAGTCACGTCGAAGTTCGAAGACACAAAAGGCACATAAAAGGATGTATACGCAATTATAATTGATTATAATGGGTTTTTTCTACAAAACAAATGAATTAGAAATTTTGATAAAAAATAATCGATAAATTTGATTATAATGTACTATAATTGATTATGTTTGAGTTCAATAAGAGTGATTATAATCGATAATTAATTGTTTAAAATCAATTTTTTCTCAATTTTTGCAAGATTGTTACTAAAATCATATTATAATCGATTATTAACGCTTGAAACTGGATGCGAGAAGGAAAATGACATAATTTTAGCTCCATAGGTGGGTTAATCGAAAACCATCAAATCTGAGTTTTTTGCAATTACGAATACGCCAAAGAAAAAAATTTGTTACATGATTTAGAGTCAACAATTCAATTTAGGCCGAATACAAAGTTGTAATTGGCCTGTACTGCGAGCCTGCCAAAAACTGGACTCAATTTTTTCTGATCGCAACTCAACAGCTCGCATCACAAAACCCCCTTGTCGCTGGAAGATAAATTTTGATCTTCACTTTTGATTTGATTTTCAAAGCGTACAGCAAGTAGGATGCTGTGACGATTTTCAAAAGTTCTGTTTGTTTACAAGTTTTCTATCATCGTTCGGTTTCTCTATTTTGAGATTAACAGTGTCTATTAAAATAAAAAACAATCAAATACTGGTTTTTGTTATCTAAAAGTTTATCAGTATAGCATCGATTCTCATGTCGCCATCATGCAACGAAATAGACTGAAAAACAATTATAACTCATTGTTATATCAGAACAAAAATCAACTATAAAAGATTTAAAATCAATTAAAGTAATTTTTTTTCTCAACCTTATTTTTGCTTCGTGTCGTCCATGTTTTTGCTACAGTTTCTGCATTTATTACTTGAAAAAGCAGCACTTTTTCAAAAAAATGTAAAATTATGGCCTGCTAAATTTCAAAACCTACAATTACTCACAATACACAACGATCAATTTCGCCCCTTTCCCAACAACGTTTGCCCCGTACCCCTTGCTCTTTGCCCCTATCCCACTGGGTTGACAACTTTGGAGGGGAGTGGAGACGAACATAAATTCACACCGTCACACATACAACCACTCATTCATACATACGTGAATATTATGTAATTTTGGGAGCTAAACCTTCCAAAAGTGGCGTATTTGATATATTTTTCAATAGAGTTTTTTAGAGACCTTTTAGAGGAAACTTTGCAAAGCTCGGGATTTCATTTTCGTCTATCTAAAATAAAATCGCAATTATTTTTGGTTTTTTAAATGTCAACTCCCCCTCTAGAAAGTCCTAGACCTTCATGCACCTTCATAATTACAAACTTAACTTAAATACATACGAAGGTTACAACTACGTTTTTGAATTTCTTGGTCAGTCTATAAAAATCAATTATGAAGCGTTTACAACAAACTTTATTCCTTTACTGATTAGTGGCATTATAATCCATATCAAATAGACAAAATTTAATTGTTTTTTTATTATGGACAATGGCATGTAGAAATTTTTTTTTAATATGGACAATAAATGTAAAAGATTTGGGAAATTATTTGTTGCAAATTTTGCTAAATTTTTGAAAATACATCGAATTTAATTCTAAAACATGGATTATAACAGATTATAATAGATTCTAATGCATTTTTATTTCGAAATAATAAGTTTTATTGGGTGATCTTTTAGACTATAAAGACAAAAAAATAGACTTCAGTCCAAAAAATAATGGATTTGAATCGATAATAATCTATTGAAATGGATTAATCTTTTTCAAAAATTTTCGATTAAAATGGCAATATAAGCGTTTTTTTTGGTCTGATTTTTACATCTGTAATCATTTTTATGGATATTGTTTGTCTCGAAAACCCATCGCCGATTGGTGCGAGCTAGGCTTTGTTACCTGTTAAATGATCTTCTGTAACCTCAAAAGCTGTTTTTGTTTTCAAATAGACTTTTTTTTAAAATTTAATCATTCTTTGCTAAAATTAAGTATGTGTCATTTGCGCGAAATGTGTTTCAAAGCAGTTGTGTGAAATCTAAGCTAAAATTCTCAAAGTTATTTCATAAGCATTTATTCGTGCGATCTCCCAAAAAAATGGAGAACATTTTTTTCTGTTAGATTTGTACGCCAATCAAAATGCCACGGTTGGGATCAAGTGATCTTTTTTTTCAAGCCTTTTAAATTGCTGCAAAAATATTTCAAAATTCAGTTCAAATATGTTCATTTTTACACTCAGTTTCAGTCAAGAGTATTTCTACGTGGCTTACGTCTAACACACCGTATTAATTTCGTCATATTGCCTAATCTTGATTTTTCATTAGACGGTATGTTAAATGGTATATACTAATGTTTAAACTGTATTAGGCAAAATCACAAGCCTTCTCCACCATCTTAAAATTAAAATTTTCAAATCAATTTTTTTTTTCCAAAATAGTAATGAGGGACCAAGTTAACGATCCCCCAGTCCAGTAGACGGGTAAAAAAATTTCTCTTAGTTAGTCAAAAAATATATTTTTTCTTTCAATCAAAATCGAGAAGTTGCGCAAACAACCAAAACGTGAAAATTTAAGAAGTTTATAGCTGTTTTTTCTGCCGAAATTTGTTCAACCAATTGTTTTCCTAACTTGCTTCAATATATATTTTCGCTTATCTACAACTTTTTGATAATTTCAGTTGAAATTTTGAATAAAAAATTGTAAATCAAATTGAAATTATTCGGTATAGTTTTCTGTTGATACCTTGATAACTTTTAAATTTAAAATTGGTTTTGTTCTAAGCTTGAAAGCAAATTGAGTTTTCGAGCAGATAAATTACACTTGGTCTATTTGTAGAAGGATGTGGCTGTTCACATCGTCGTTTTCTATGTCTCGTTCTGATATCTTATAGCGACCGCAAGCTCAAAATTTTATGGTTTAGTTATGGTGTTCATGCCGCATTTTTGTTATCTTTTCTGCAACTCAGGCCTATCAAAATAAACTCATGATTCAATGAATCAGTTCGAAATCAGTTTAAGGCAGTTGAAATCAGTTTAAGGCAAAAAAATTGTCATGGGATTTTTTTATTCAAATTCAAAATTGAGCACAAACAAAACTCAAAAAAAAGGTTTGATTGTTCACATTAGATTGTTCACATTTTTCTAATTTGTTAACCAACAGTACCAGCTGAAATTACGAAATCATGATTCAGCAACTGCA